TCAGCAGTAAGTGTTATGAAGCTGCCCATGACCTTTTAAACTCTGAGGCTTTGAAGGACCTGGGCCAAGAGCAACTGGCTCAGGTTCTGAAGCGGCTCGGCAACATCCGCAATGAGATGGGCGTGTTCTACATGAACCAAGCTGCGGCTCTGCAGACAGAGAAAGAAGGGGGTGAGTGTTTATCTGTGTTTTCTCAGGAGTTATTCAGGATCTTATTTGAAAAGGTTGTATCCACAGACCTGCTGAGAATAAATGTGTTGCAATATTTTTTCTCTCCCTCCTCCCTTCTGTCATGTAGTGCGGAGGACTGTGAGTGCAGCAGAGCAGGAGCTGTGGAAGAAAAGTTTCTCGTATTTTGAGAAGGGTATGCAGAACTTTGAGGCCATCTCTGACTCTGTAAATAAAGCCCTGCTGCTGTGTAACATCGGCAGATTGATGCGCATCTGTGCCCAGGCCCACTGCGCCATGACCACGGAGGAGAGCCGAGGAGAGTTTTCACCTGAAGAGGCTCTTTACTACAACAAGGTACACACACTGTAGCCCAAAGAAGGAAAATAACACTTCACATACACAGAAAAAGTGAATTCTCTACTATTGTTATTGGAAGAAATTATGCACCCTAGTAGGGTAATGTGGAGGAAGAACCCCCTATTTTCTCTCCTGAACAAATGATGTGGCCAAATCTAATCTCAACAGTTACTGAATGGCTCTTGTTTAAACGCCTCTGAAATGTTGTCTGGATGACCACATTTCTGGAATGTATTGCCCCAGAAACAATCTGAGATCAGCTTGATTTGATTTTTTTTATTGGATAATTGTGATCTGTGCATTTTTAGATTACACTGTGCAAGACAATTTGGTAGAAATATGTGATTGGGGGTGGGGGCAGGCTTGTAGAGAAACCAGGACATTTGGTTTTGAGAGTGGGAAAATGCTTTTTTTTCTGGAGTAAAAATAGGTTGGCTTTCATTGAAAAAGAAAGTACTTTATGAAACCTCTCCTGTGTTGTGGTCTGTTTTTGAGTAAAGTTTACTACAGCTGTCTCCATCTCTGTTTGTAGGCTGTAGATTACTATCAGAGGGCCATGAAGTGTCTTGGCAGCAGAGAAAGCCATGCAGCAGTGTGGGACTCTGTTAACTGGGAGCTCTCCACCACATACTTCACTCTGGCTACACTACTGCAAGACTATGCTCCACTGTCCCGCAAAGCCCAAGAGCAGGTAATGCGTGCGCGCGCACACACACACACAGTTTCACCTTATTGCATACTACATGTGCTATTACAGCACCTGAAAGGTTTATTTATGGTGCTGCTTTAATTGTTTCAGATTGAGAGGGAAGTGACAGAGGCTATGATGAAGTCTCTAAGATATTGTGACCTCCAGACAGAGTCAGCTCGTCAGCCACTCTACCAGTACAGAGCAGCGACCATCCACCATAGACTGGCCTCTATGTATCACAGCTGCTACCGTAACCAGGTAGCCACATCAACTCCTTCACCTACACATCAACAGTCAGGCTCATTCATGTGTCCATACTTAGTCTCATACGTTTTTTTTTCCCCACTCTGTGTCTGTGACAGGTTGGTGATGAGAGTTTACGGAAGCAGCACAGGTCTCTAGCAGAGCTCCATTACTCGAAAGCAGTGCGTCTGTTCCTCAATCTGAGTGATGCACCCTGTGAGCTGCTCCGCACACTGCTAGAGAGAGTGGCCTTTGCAGAGTTCACCATGGCAGGTCAGTCTCACTGCTCTCCCACACCAACATCATGTAGCCATAACTTCATTGTCGGTGTCCTTTATGTGTGTGACCTACCTATCCACGTCCATGTGTCTTTCTATCTGCATTTGTAGTGCCGTTAAAAGGAAATTGCCCTCATATGTATAGCACTTGAGATGTTTTTTTTCTGCTATAAGGTTAGCTTATAATACATTTAAACATTGTTATATATTTTGTTTCTTACAGGACAGAGTAGTAGTGCGGTGAAACTGAAAACTCTGACAGGTGCTCTGGAGATCATGAGGGAGACACGGAGTGCTTTCAGACTAATCCACAAAGAGCTTCAGGAGCAACAGCAGAAAGAGGTATACACATTCACAAAGAGGCCTCACTATGTCCTTTAAGAAAGATAATTAATGGTGTTAGTGTTAAATATATATATTTTTTGTGTTTTTATGTATATATATATTTGTAGGCAGCAGCACCAGAAGACACAGTTAATCCTGATAAATCCAGTGAGGCCTTTGATAGCCCCGCTTCCTCTGGGCTGAACACAGAGGAAGTGATGAAGCTGATTGGTGTCTTTGAGCCCAGTTTCTCCTTCCTGCTGTTGCAGCTGGTCAAACTCAGCACCACCAGCAAACGCAAACCCAGGTGAGAAAGAACTGTTTACTTGTTATATTACTTTTTTGGTATTTTATCAATAAACTTGAACTGCTGACCATTAAGTGCCATTAGGAATCAGCTAATGTTTGAAGTAAAGATGGCTAGCCTAGAGAAATTGTGTTTGTTCAGTTGGATTTATTGTTTAGATTCAGGTTTTAATTAAACAATCTTAAGATTCTTTAAAGGGGAAGTTTACCAATTTCAGCATAATTCAGTCATGGAGATGTAAATAAAGTCTTCTGTGTTTTGATGTGAAATTGTGCCCTGTAGAAAAACATACTGACTCGGACTTTCTTTGCAGTGGTGGTGATGAGAACCAAAAAAATATGTTTTAAGCAAAAACCTTATCTCAAAGCTATCGTAAAATAATGTCTCCGGCATCAGGCAGCACCTTCATAACAGTTTATGTAATAGCTTTCTATGAGGTAACTTTTGGAGGTATTAAACACTTCGGACGTCTGGTTCCTATCACCACCATTGTGAGTAATCTTTTACTCAAAGTTTCTTTGTAATTATATATCTCGCATCAAACCATTCTGTTTGAATTTGTTCACATCTTAATAATCAAAATCTGCTGAAATATTTTTAAGTTTTTGGCTCTCCACTTTAAATCAAACAAATTACTTCATTACTCATACCCATTTTGGTACTTTACTCATCTGTTGAAAGGAGAAATTCCACTCAGTTTCAATCAATGAGATGTAAACAGTCATTCAGAGTGGTTTGATGTAAAATAGTTAATTTTGGGAAAACCTACTCAGATTTTTTTTTTTTTACAGTGGTGGTGATAAGAAACAGGGGTTGTGATGTCTACAGTGAAAATATAACCATTTTATTTGAACTGAACGGAATTGATTTCAAAATGGATTTTTAGACCAAGACCTTATCATGAACAAGTATTTCATGTAATAACTTTATGAGGTTCAGATCCTGTCACCACTGCTTTTAACGATTCTCTGTAACGGAGCATTTCACACCACACAGAATGACTTTGTTTACATCCTAACAATTGAATTATGAAGTTCCCTTTAGTGCAGGTAGATGGAGTAAACCAGGATGTTTATCTGTATAGAGAGAAAAGTTAATAGCTTATTCAGGAAAATAAAACAAGGCCCTAATATCTCTTAATACATATTGCTTCTCTGTGTATTGTGTGTTTGTGTTTGTGTAAAGTAGCAGTAAAGAAGAGGAACAGGTGAAGCTCTATAAGCAGGTATACTCAAGGCTGTTGCGAGCAGAAAAGAATGCCCCCCTGATCCAGCGAATTGGCCTCTATTTGGAACTTCTTGAACAACTCAGTCCACCAGCAGAAACAGATGAAACAGGACCATCAGTGTGAATCACAAGTCTGACGGTGCTACGAAATGTGACTCATCCAGACTGTTTGGTGAAATGCCGATGATGAGGAGACAAGCTTTTTTGAACAGGACTCTTTTTCATTGTAACCTGGCAATGTGAATACAAATCCTCACAAGCAGTACTTTGTTCTCTCACTCACTAGATCTTCATCCTGGCATGGCCACTTTTTTATTTTATAATGGAAGAAATACTGAAGAAAGTTTGTTTTGCAGATGAGGGTATTTTTTTGTGTATGTGGTGAATTTTTTCTGAAAATGACTAATGTGAACCTGTTTTCTGAATGAGAGAAAAGACACTTCATCACTGTTTACTGGTGCATAAAAAGCTCACATTTGTTGCTACTGCTGAAGGGTTACGATTTTCAGAAATAAACTGAAAAATGAACATGTGCAATAAAAGGCAATATTCAGGGGCAAGCTCCATTTAAAGAGCTTTGTCCAGGTTACAGTGTTTTGTATGAAAGTGAATGCTGACTTGGCTGTTGAGACTCTTTATTAAAAGAATTATTTTGGAAGCTATTTTATAAGTTTGTCTTGGTTTTGTTTCAGTTTGTCACACAATTTCACAGTTTTACCTTGATCACTTGAAAGGGTGCTGCTGCAGGTTAATCTAAATTTAATTAAGACATCACACACAATAGAGCTCAAATGCAAACATGTATTTTGTTGTGAATGTTGTCAACGTGATACAGCTGGTACAATTCGAGGCGTGGGCAATGTTGTACTATGATTCTACAATGATGAGTATAACAAGACTGAGCATCCCTGGCTTTACTCATTTTGCACCAGCAAAATCATGCATTTTAAGTTTTTCAGTACTTATGGCCCAAAGTTTTAAAACAGTGGCCACAGTGGCTTTGACAAATGCTTGTATCGATCACAATCACAGAGGTACAAAGGATTCAGGAGGGTGAAGTTGGCTTTACCCGTTCCACCTTAAAAGGTCCAGCAGTTACATTCTGGGGCTGCACCATTTAAGGTGGAACCTGAAAACTCGAATAAGCAGCTGACTTCAGCTTCGTAAAAGATTATTTAGCAGCTATTAAACAATGCAAAGAATTTGAAATGAGAGAAAAGCAGAACCGCAAGAAATATTTCTCTAATTGAATTCTTTAGAAAAGAGTCGTGCGAGGTCAAATGACCTTACCAGTATGGTCTCTCGAGTTGGCCCTCAGGGAGAGGAGCATTTCGTTGTGTTGTTCCGCGTCAGTAGCCAATCAGCGTGCAGCAGAGCTCTTGGCGCGGTATTGGGAACAGAATTCGCGTTTACTTAGCCGACTGTGGATCTCGGCTGCGCAGTGAATAATAGTTTAATTTAGAAACGATGGATTGCTGTTAAAACCTAAACTAACTACTGATTGGAAGTCGACGGAGAATTTACAAGTTTCTTTCACATGCTAGTGCAAATGTTTTCTCTTTATGTTTCACCGATTTGTCAGTATTACCTGTCCAGCTAGCTAACTGGCTAGCATCCGCTGCGCACCGGGGACAATGAGTGCTGCAAAAGAGATCAGACGTGAGTAAAGTTACAGTTTAATAACTCATCTGCGTTAAGACGAAGCTGAAGTCAGCTTCTTGTTCGAATTTCGCCGTTCCACCTTAAATGGTGCAGTCGTTAACTGATGTTATGTTGTGTAATGATTGTCTGTATGGTGATCATAATAATAGCTTGTTTCAAGCGATCGTGTAGTTTCTGATTTTGTAACAGCGTAACGTTACATTGGGAGTTGTTTTGTTGTCAGATCAGACAGAAAACAACCTCAACTTTTGTGTAAAAATGTTCCATCCGTTGTTTTTAACAGAACTACAAAAAGCCAAAAACAGAGCCCAAAACAGCAGTAATTTCAAGGAGGAAGCAAGTATCTGCAATCAGCTCGGAGAGCTCTTAGCCAAAAATGGTAAGGAACCCAAACTATAGGATAGTTGGTAATGGTTCTCAAGATTATCTGTCGTTTGCTTGATTCTCTTACTTTCTTCTGTTGTAGGTGATTACCAGGCTGCCATTGAGGAGCATCGGCAGGAGCTGGCCTTGTCAGAGACGTTACACGATGTGATTGGTTGTGCAGTAGCCAATAGGAAGATTGGAGAATGTTACGCAGAACTTGGAAACATCGAAGCTGCTCTGAAGGTGAGAAAAGACCTGTCAGGTTTTACCTGTGATGAGTTTTAGGTCAGGGTTGCTCAACCAGCACCCTCTGCTGGTCCTTGGGCCGGTACTGAGGAGGAACCAGTGGTCCATAGGGGGATGGTGATGGAAAAAATTCTTAGTAATAAGAAAGAAATAGATGTTTTCCAATGGTAAACAATATGAATTACAAGCCATGTAATAATTACACACAAAGCAAGTTTTTCCCACTTGGTTCCAGGACCAAAATCCTTTTCCCTGAAGTTTCAGTCGTCCACTCGCGAGTGAAAAAGTGCTTGATTTTAGAGGTTAGAAACATGACAAAAATACAGTACTGAGATACTGCAAAAACATTTCATGATATGTGATATGTCAAAGTATTTATTTTTATTTTGATCAGTTGGAATAGAGAAAAGCAAGCTACACTGCTAGAAAAAATACTTTAAAAAAAACTAAATACAATTATTTTATTCAATATTTGTCAAACTGTGTTGCACTAAATCCAGTTAAACAGGACTAATTTTGCTCTCTGTATAATTAAACAGACAGTGTTCTACAAGTACTAACAATGTGCACGATGTGTTTAGAAAAGCATATTGTGTTGTGACATAATTTATCACGACAGTGACATATATTGTCATATTACCAAGCCCTACTTAATTTGCCACTACTCTGCTTGATTTCAGGTATAAAACAAGCTTATGTTTACCCAAATTCAACCTTTAATGTTGAATTATACACATTGCATATTGTGGCACACAAAAATTGCTGTGTTGAAAATTTCTCAAAAATTAATTTTTAAGCAGTGTTTTTTTTCCCTGTGGGACTTCATGCCTCCTAGTGATAAAGACATGGACCTTGAAGTGGAAAAGGTTGAGAATACCTGTTATAGGTGATGTCTTTGATGTTTTTCATGACTTCAAATCAATGGTGCCTGTCTCTGTTCCAGCATCAGAGACGGCATTTGGACCTGGCTCGCTCAGTCAGTGATGCCGCTGAGGAACAAAGAGCTCTGGCCACCATTGGCCGGACTTACCTCTTCCTTCATGACCGTGACCAGTCACGAGACAGTCTGAAGCAGGCCGAGGATGCTTTCAAGAAGAGTTTGGCTATCGTGGACAAACGTCTGGAAGGTCTTGTTCCTGTTTCCTGCTAAATTCCAGTGATGCCAGAAGTGACTAGGAGACAAGGAGACAGTAGTGGAGAGTCTAATGCTCAGGGAAAGAGTTGTGAATTTGCTTGTTAGTTTTGGAAGGAAGCTAGGTCACACTTTCTTTGTTTGCAGATTTCCAAAATGTTGGCAGACTGCCTGTTCCTTAGAATAAGACTATAATTCCTGTATTCTCCTATGACCTATTATGGCGTGGCTGACCAGTGCTTGACTTCTGAAGAATATCTCACTGACAAATGCTGCTAAAAGTCTCCACTAGTCAGCCCATTGTTTGTTTCTGTTGACGTATGAACAGATGAATGTGTTACCACTAGCTATACTGTGTGGTTGTTATTTCTAGTACTTAGTGTTGGCGCGTTTGGGGCTGATGTATCTTATATGTGTCTGTGCTGCAGGCACGGTTTCAGCACGGGAGCGGAGTGAAATGAAAGCGCGTCTCCTGCTGAACCTTGGCTTTGTGTGCGATGGCCTAAAAGATCCGCAGCGCTGCAGTGACTTCATCCGCCAGAGCATCTACATCTCAGAGTGAGACATTCCTGCTTGGAGCCCATGCCAGTCTGCACTTGCTCAGTACTCTACCTCGGTTTTGTTCATGCAGTACTATGTACCTAACTCTGGTCCTGCTTTGTCTTAGGAAGAACAATTTCCCAGAGGATCTCTACCGTGCAAACTTTAACCTGGGCAGTATCCACTTTCGAAATGGGCAGCATTCCCTTGCCATTCGGTGCTTTGAGAAGAGCAAAGAGTGTGCACGGAAGATGAGCGACAAATTTAGCGAGAGCGAATGTTTCTACAACATTGGCAAGGTACCGGTCAGCACCGTGATAGGGCAGTGTTCTTCAGACATGAAGAATTATTTCAGGATTACACAAAAGCTGAGGTGGTTTTGCTTTCTCAGCAAATGTCATATATTTGATATCTGTGTAGGTTTTATTGAATCTGGGAGACTTCCTGGCTGCCCGGCGCTCTCTGAAGAAGGCCTTCCGTCTAGGGTCCCAACAGCCTGCAGAGAGGGAGGCAGTGAAAAGAGAATTAAATTATGGTGAGAGGAAGAGTCACACATTTTCATTTTTTATTGAGGTGGTGGTGTTGACTGTTCTGTATAAATTGGAGTATTTGAAAGTGTTTGTTTCTACTGCATTCCCTGGCCAGCTGACCAGGGTCCTTTCTGTGTGGAGTTTGCATGTATTCCCCTTGTGTGCGTTGGTTCCCTCCAGGTGCTCAGGTTTGCTCTCACAGTCCAAAGACATGCAGTCAGGCTAGTTGGAGTTACTGAATTGCCCACAGGTGCGAGTGTATGAGTGAATGTGTGTGTCTGTGTGTCTGCCCTGTGATGGACTGGTGGCCTGTCTAGGGTGTTTCTGACTTCCGACCAGTGAGCGCTGGCCTAGATTCCAGCACCCAAGGAAGACAAGTGGCTTAGATGAAGATGAATGAATGTTTCTACTGCTTGAATAATAAAATTGAAAAGTCCCAAGGGCCAATTTCCTAGACCCAGATTTAGGCCTAAGCTTAATTTTTAAAGGAGATTTGCCATTACACCGCGACCCAGAAGGATAAGCGGTTTAGATGATGATGATGATGATGATGATGATGATTTGCCATTAGCTTTGCACTCTAATCCAGGACTATGCTTAATTCTGGTCTGGGAAACTGGTTCTGTATGTTTGATTTAATTAGTTCATTGGCCTTGCCAATACATGTTGATGCTGACTTCGTAGCAATCCGTGGCTGTGAGCTGGAGGATGCTATGTCAAACGTCAGTAATAAGCTCTCCCAAGAGGCCTTAGGGCTTGCAGAGGGACTGGGGGACCTCTACTGCAAAGCAGGCTGCTACACCAAGGCTCTGGATGCTTACCACACCCAGGTAAGAGCTTGCTGGATCTACAGGAACTTTTAATGTAGTTGCACAAAGGTTATGGCATAGGGCATCTTTGCAAACCCAGTAATGGAGGCTCAAAGTTTCTGTTCTTGGTGTTTATTTGTATACTGCTTGCATGGCAAGACAGTGTTGCCTGAATATTTTGTCTCTGCATGCTTTGTTTGTGTTTAGCTGTCGTGTGCGAAGGCTTTAGGGAAGCCTGCACGAGAGCTGGCTGTCATCCACGTTTCCCTGGCAGCAACATACTCAGACCTGCGGCAGTACCATAAAGCTATAGAACACTACAGACATGAACTGGAGCTGCGGCACGGCAATGCCAAAGAGGTATTATAATACACATCCACTGAGCTTTGCTTCTTAAGCATGTTTAATGCAGAGTATTTGGTTCACAAAGCTAGAAAAGCTTAATTTGGAAGTTTTGTTTTTGCAAACTTTTGAGTATCTGTGTTTGTGTGTCAGGAGTGTGAGACTTGGCTGAACATTGCAAGCTGTCAGGAGGACTCGGGCAAAAGCCTGGAGGAACTGGACAGTAGTTACACTGCTGCCTTGAGCTGTGCTGAAAGAGCAGCTCAAAACAAACTACAAGTGAGTCACTCTTCCATATTCTAGGTAGTGTAGTGTAGTCCTCTTAACCAATCACAAAAAGCATTCATCAAGATTTTCTAATTGGCTCTGTAACAGAAATGAGGAGCTCCAGACGGTATTACCGCAATACCTTGTTTTCTGTTGATTTAAAGGTCTAAAATTTCCACACAGGAATTGTTAAAATGGTCAACCATTGAGTAAAAGTCTGGCCTTTCATGTTCTGACAAACTTGTCCTGTTACGTTTCATTGCATGCCCAGTCAAAGCAGTCAAGAACTGTGCGGCCTCCCAAACTTCTTTTTCGTTTCTTTAGAATTCTTATTGCCAGCAAGTCAGCAAGAAAACATTCACTGGCTTGCAGTGATCCTTCTTTTACTCTCTTACTCTAAGTCTTGTACTGACCAGTTTTTATTTACTTATGAGCTGCAAGTTTGACCAGTACCGATTCTAACCTTTAGTAATGTATATTAAAAAAAAACCAAAACAAACAGAAAGCCACCATCCAAACTGGTTGTTAGTTATTTTTACCATATTTTTATCACATATTTAACTGCAGAAGTCATTCCTTTTCTTTCCTTTTGGTTTTGTGTTGTGTGTCCTCGGTTACAGAGGCGGGTTCTAAGAGCATGGCTACAGGTGCAGAGGCGGGTCAATTCAGCAGATACTGACGCCACGGAGGCTCGTCTCCAGGAGTTGTGTGAAGCAGAGGGCCACGGGCTGGAGGAGAGCGATGATGAGGAGGAGGAAGAGCAGTTGCAGAACAGCGAACCACTGGACAGTGACATCCAGCTCTCAGACTCTGGTAAGTAAACAAATGGGGAAATGAATACTTAAGTATTTGGTCCTAAATGTAATTATTCATTTAAATGTGGGAAAGAGGGCTAATGTCTTTTATTTCTCTTGGCAGATGACGACATGGAGGGCTACGATAAGATTGTGACTGGCCGAAGGAAAACTGGAAGGGTAAGAGAGAACCCTCTTCCATAGTAAATTAAAGTTAAATTAAAATCAAAATCTACCTTTCTTCTTTTTCCTTGTTAGTTTATGTCCCTGGTCATTTTAAGCACAATTCTTCATATTGCATCTTTTAAAAACATATAATTATTATTTTGCCGTTATCTTGCATCACAATGTAATGACTTTTGCATGGCTCTAGAACTTCTTCAATTTTTGATTTAATAATATTAACTAATAATATCATGTTTCACCTCCTTCTGTCACACACACCCACCTATCATCAAGCAAATCACTGAGCTTAGACATCCTCCCTAATTGTGACAGTATGTGTGAACATTTCAAACTTTTTCTCTTCTTATCTATTAATTTCCACCTTCTGCCTTTTTTCATACCCCTATCATTTGCAGTCTCTCTCTCTCTCATATTTCTCTTCATTTGTCTTCCTCTCACTTACCCTCTTCTTCTCTCTTAGTGGAACAGGCGGAATGAAAAGGGTGAGACTGTGCTCCATCGAGCCTGTATTGAAGGTAACCTGAAGCAGGTCCAGTACCTGGTAGAGCAGGTGAGCTGAGCTGATCACATGAGTCCAACAGATCAGCCTCTGAGTGGTCATGGCTGAAATGGCTATTCACTTTGTCTTTCTCTTTCTACCACAGGGTCATCCCCTAAACCCCAGAGATAACTGTGGCTGGACTCCACTCCATGAGGCCTCCAATCACGGCCATTTAGGTACCAAGTGAACCTGATGAACACTGCTCAGTTTACTGAGTTAACAGTGCAATACAATATTTTTAGACTTAAAAACAGCACCTTGCTGTGCTTCTCTCTTGGATCTGTATAGTTGATCTACTTTGTCCTTGTGTCTATTAGAGATTGTTGCATTGCTGCTGGACAGAGGAGCTAACATTAATGACCCTGGGGGTGCACAGTGTGATGGGGTCACACCCCTGCATGACGCCCTCATCTGTGGGAACTTCAAGGTGGCACGACTGCTGGTCCAGAGGGGCGCTTCAGTCAATGTTCGCAATAACAAGGTCTGATATAGATACACACCTGTAACACTGTCAGCTTGCTATTACCGTAAGAGAAACAGCCATTTTGTGTCCCATCATTTTTGCTTTAATATCTGAATGTATAGATGAGGTACAGTGGTATGAATAATACTGTGTTATAATGCAGATTTTCTTTTACTTAGGTTCATTGAATGTGCTTACGGTGTGTCTTTCCTTCAGGGGGAAACACCTTTGGACAGCTTGTGTCAGTGGCGGAAGACATATGGTAGAGAGCTGGATCAGGACACAGTACGGGAGTGTACAGAAACAGAGAAATTCCTGAAGCGGGCAGAGACTGGAGGAGGTGAGGATGAGAGAGGATGAGAGAGAATGAGGAGAAAAGAGTGGCTTGTTCAGGGATTAGAAGAGGTTGTTACCAATCCCAGTCCTGGGCATCCTGCACTATACACCTTTTTGTGCTTTTCCCCTCGTCTAGCGCATTGACTTCTTAACTGATCGGCAAACTCTTTGTGTGATGGGTCAGAGGTGTTGCAGTAAGAAAAGCAAAAAAAATGAGCAGAGCATTGGGTCCTCAGGACTAGGGTCATGACCCACTGGATTAGAAAAGGGTTAAACAAGGCTCTTAGTGTTGCAGAACTTTTGTCAGTAAATATTTTGATAGGGGGGTTGCAAGATGATACAGTTACAGATACAGTTAGGTTTCATGCTGCACAATTCATGATTTTCCTAAAAGCGATAACCAACAAAAAAAACTCCACTGCAGAGCACCTGGAATTTATATACCTGTAATAAATTTAAGACATCACTCGAATATGAATATATGTGTGTGTGTGTGTGTGTGTGTGTGTGTGTGTATATATATGTATGTGTGTGTGTGTGTGTGTGTGTGTGTGTGTAATGTAACATATTGTGATGCAAAATCAACAGCTCATATTGTATTGTGAAATTTGCATATTGTTGCACCCCTAATTGTTTTACTCCCTCGAGTGGTATCTGCTGGATTGAACTCATTTCACTCCCTTTTCCATCCCTGTAATTTTCTCATATCATAACAATGTCTCTGTCTGTCTCTCTCTCTCTCTCTCTCTCTCTCTCTCTCTCTCTCTCTCTCTCTCTCTCTCTCTCTCTCTCTCTCGTAGTTGCAGCTGTGTCTCCGAGGCCTGTCCTGCAAGACAGTCAGCTTTTCGATGCTGAGTGCTCAGAGCCACTGTTGCAGCAGGATGAGCTCCACCCCACTTCCCAGCATGCCCTGCCTAGTACACGGACCCCACCAGAAGCTGTTACTCCCCCCAGAGTCAGACGATCAACTGGGCCCCGTCACCAACCCAGAGGGACTGAGCAGAATGTTCTCTTTGGGGTGGGACCAGACATTCACTAATACTGTCATTTATATAATTTGATTAAGGTTTGCCCTGGTGTGTTTGTCTTGCAGGTTTGCTTGTAGCCACAATGGTGTAGCTAAAAGTTTTTCACCTATTTCCCCAGGAGAGCAATGATTCTGACCACTCTGACTGCTCCATCAGCCCGCTGCGACCTGTGCGGCCTAGACTCCGTTTCCCAGAAGACCCTCTGTCCCCACGTGAAGTTTCTCCTAGTCAGGATGTCCCATCCTACCTACATGGGGGTAGAGATTCAGTGTTGCCCCCTAAGCCTGTCTGTGGCAGAGAGGAGTACCAGAGAGCAATGCACAACCTAGGCAGTGCCAAGTCCCGCCTTCTCTCCCAAAGCCTGTCAGAACCAGCCTTCAGCAGCACACCGGCAGTGTCAGCCAATCATGTTTCAGCTCTGGTCCCTGAGGACGAATACATAGCAGATGACTGGCTGGAAGATGACTTGGGGAGCGCTCAGCCCAAAAAGAAAAGGAAAATATCCTCCGAACAGGACAACAGGCGGGACAGCATGATGCGTTCTAGAAGCCAGATTTATGTGTCTGGACCATCAGAGCCTTCTGCTAGAGGTATGTTACCTGAAGATATTAGTAAAAGAATGTGTTTAAATGTATTAGAGGTCAAATTCGCTCTGTTTTTTTAGGGTTGCAGCAATTAGTCACCATAATCAATTAGTTGTTGATGAGATTGATTGATTGATTTGTTTATTCATTCTTTTTTTCTTCCTGACATTTAGCTAAAATCAAAAACCAACTCTAGTACATTAATGTAGGGATGGGCCATATCATGATGATAATTATAATTATCATGCTAAATTAAGTCGGGAGAGGCAATATGGCAAAAATATCATGATACATGATATGCATCACAGTATTTTGACCCAGACAAAATGCGCTAGTAGTGTTAACATTTTAAAGCTGCCATCAAAAACTCTCAGTACAATGGTTGTGTTTTATTCACTGCGCTGCACTAACTACATTGCAAAAGTACTAATTCTGCTCTCCTTGTAATAAAACATTTTGTGTATGCAGTGGAGGTAAAATGTTAAATAAAAGTCACTGTATTTATGGATTTTGATAGTATTTTTTGGGATCACTATTGTTTTCTGTTGTCTGATCTACTTTAGTAAACCTCTAACTAAAACTAAATATTGTGATTCGTTTTGTGTTTGTTTTTTAAAAATGTCTTGAAATTTTCACATCAACCACCTTTAGAGGCAGTATGACTTCTATTGTTTTGTTGCACATAAAAGGATTTTTTTTTTTTTGAAAAATACACACAAATCTTTGAATGATATCACAATTGTGACTGGGGAAAAGTCTAAGAAAGATGGTTAGATAAGTCGATCAAATTATTGTCAGTAGATTAACCAATTATAGAAATAATTGGTTGTAGCCCTAGTTTATTTTAAAAAGAGTTTAGTTAGGCAGGTTACGGTGCAGTCATCTAAGTCAGAACATGAGATTGTTCAGTGCTTGTGGCTGGTCATGGAGGCCCTGTGTTTTCTTGTGGATGTAGCTGAAGTAAAAAATTAGCCAAATTTATATGCACTGCAACTTTGAACGGAGATGTGACTGTAACAGAAGAATGTTTTTCTAGGCAGTAAGTTTTCCAATCTTACCTTTCCCTGCAGTTCAGTCATCCTCCAACAGGAGTCTCTCTCTGAAAAAGAGCAATAAGGCACGGCAGGTGAAGATGAATCAGCTGCCTGGCATGGTGATGCTGGGCAGGAGAGAAATCGGCAGGTCACCAAGTCCCATTATCACCCCTGAAGATGACCCTCCACAGCCTGTACGCCCGCAAACTTACAGCTCACAGACAGTGGTGAGATATTTACTCACAGTGGTGTCCTTTGATATTAGCCACGGTTGTCTTGTATAATCTGTACTTATTCAGTGATGTCTGGCTGGCTGAGTTTGTTTTTGGTTTGTGTGTTACAGACACAGGCTGCCCCTCAGATCACAGCACCTGCCATGCCTGCACCAATCAGGATGAGAGTTAGAGTTCAGAACAATGTCTTCCTGATTCCTGTACCACACAGGTCTGAAGTGTGTGTGTGCGTTTGTGTGCGTTTGTGTGCGTGTGTGTGCGTGTGTGCATGCTTGTATTTTCTAGAGAGATTGTCATATACATCTGATAATGAATGAACTTGTGCTAAGTGGCAGTTTTGACTGGAAATTAAGTAACTGAAGGGCTCTGACCTTTGCAGTACTGTACAGTGCTGTGTATCTTGTGATGCATCCTAAAAATTAGACAGTCATCTGTTTCTAGGCAGCTGTGGTTTAATTGGTTTTGCCTGCAGATGTGCTTTTTTCTCTTTTCAGCCACATGCTGTCTGAGTATTTCTCTTTCCTACAGCTTGATACAATAAGAATTTTGGCTCAAGTGCCATATTTTCTACTTCTTTTTAAGTTGAACACCATTCTCCTCCTTGAAAATGAATAAGTTGCGCTTAATGTCAGTTTTGTCAGAAAATGGGTGATCTTTGACGTTTGCGCTGCTGCGTATAAAGATGTATAATTTGTTTCCAGTGAGGCAGACTCTTGCACTGTGTCCTGGCTGTGTGAGCAGGCCGCTCAGCGTTATTATCAAACCTGTGGGCTGCTGCCACGTCTCTCCCTGCAGAAAGAGGGTGCTCTTCTCTCACCTACTGACCTGCTGCTGGCTGTGCTGCACACCAATGAAGAGGTTATAATGCGGATATTTATTTTGTTCAACAATAACAGCTTGAACTTTTTCATGTCAATACACTGTAACACATGCTTATTGTGAAAAGCAGTTAGATTTCTTTTTTTGATTTTGCCATTTTGAAGGGTAAATGCATGAAGAGAAATTGTATGTGAATATATGGTTTGATTGTAAGGCAGTTGTGTGTGAACGGTCTGCTTGTAGGTTCTTGCAGAGGTCTGCTCGTGGGACCTCCCTCCCCTTCCTGAGCGCTATAAGAAAGCCTGTACAAGTCTAGCTGTGGGTGAGTGTTTTCAGCTCTCTAGTTAAGCTCTGTCTTTCCACATACAGACCTGAGACATACACATACAATAGACTAGGCCCTCCGTTTTTGTGTTTGCGTTGACATGGTCAAGATGGAAGCTTATGCAAATGTCTGCTTGGCACTTTCTCTTTGTTCACATGTCTCTGAATATAATTATATATGAGACTATGTGCTTATGTGTATGTTGCAGAGGTGAACAGACGTGTGTTGCGGCTGTGTGAGGTGCAGGATGGCTCTCCTTGTGTGACTGTGTGTGGTCTCAGTCTGGCTCCTGCATGTCTGGTGCCTCTGCTGCGTGCTCTCAAACTACAAGACAGTCTGACTGAGCTTCGTCTCTCCGCCAACCGTCTTTGTGATGACCTCCTGCCTGAGCTTGTCTCTGCAGCAACCACCATGCCCCGCCTACGACTTCTTGACGTCTCAGCCAATCAGATTACAGGAGAGGGCATTAAGAAGGCAGTCAGTGCTTTAGAGGGAAGGAGTGAACCTGCATTTCCGGTATTTAAAGTAACCTTTTTTATTAATACACTGACAATAACTTTCCCATTATCATCAAGAAAGTTATGTGTTTCGAATTATTTCCACACTAGAAGTTCTGGCTGGAGGTGGCTCTAATTTGGCAAAGTGAATCTTTAGAGAACTCACAGATTATGGGTAAGGGGCTACACCAGAGAAAAGATGATGCAGTCACAGTCATCCTAAACATGTACAGAAATAGGCAGACATAGCAGATAATACATAATGAAGAAATACAAGCTGACTTAAGGACTGACTTAAGTCTTAGTTGTATCTCACTCAACTTTTAGTGTAACACAGTATGCCAAATATTGAATAAAAATGATTGAATTCCAGTTCCAACTGATCAGATTTTTGAATAAGTAAACATAATGTGTTTTATGAAAAGTATTATATCATATTTCTGCCATATTGTCCACTTCTAACTGAAATTTCTCAAACTGCAGAAAATTGAAATATTTTGGTACATATTGTGTAACGTGAAAATGTCCTAAAGTATTCTGATGTTTTTGTCATAAGCCCATCCTTAAAGAAAGAAATGTTGTATTTCCCTTTAATGCTAATCCAGGAGGATTTAGGTACAATTTCTACATTTTTTTTTAAGTGTGTATCTGCATTAGCAGATATGTACATGAAAAGTAATGTGTGTTAGCTCACAGTTCCCATATTGAAAATCCCAAGACTGTGCTCAACATGTGCCCAGCCCCTTACTTCACTGTAAAAAAGTTGTAGAATTGCCCTTTGAGTACAAGAACCAACTATCAGTGTTGAAAGAACAACTTAAAAATAGTTTATGTCATTGTTTTGCCACTGTCACATTCTTGCACTACTAAGGTAGAATAGCCTTGGTCAGAACAAGTGAGGTTTCTAGGTCTGATCTGGTGAGACGTTTTCTCCCTCCAGCAAGCATTCACATCCCTGTGCTCCAGGACACTGACTGTTTTCTACTGCGTCATACAGCATTTTATACTTTTTACTTAGTAAAAGCTTTAGAGGATACGAGTTCTACAATTGAGCATTATGGAGGGTAAAGCTGTATTCATGATAGTTGGGACCATTCATGTGCTCAAAAATGGTCTGTATGTGTTAGTGGTCTGTTGAGCACTCACTTGTATGCTGGAAACCCTGATTGGTACTAACACCCGCACACACATATTTGTATACCACACTGTGTGAAAGAATGTGGTGTAAAGGAAATCGTGTATGTGGCTCAATAGATGTGTGATTTTGGGCATGTTTGAGAGAGAGAGAGAAAAAAAAAAAACACTTTTGTGTTTTGCTAGTTCCCTATGCTGTTCGCTTACGCTAGCATAAGCCATCAAACAGAACTCATTCTATCCAAATGCAGATTTAGTATTTATAAACACAACAAAATTACCAGCCTTTGATGACAGTGACAGTCTGGCAGTCAAACCTACTCATCAGTAATTTTTTTTTTTATTAAGGAAAGCCATTTTAGTAAGTTTGGCTTAAGTTTTCCATGACCAGAACTGCTCTGTTGTGGTCGTGTGTGTTTATGCATGTCTGACTATAGTTTGTGATTTTAATTTTAGCATTTAGCTTATAGCATTAACTTTCATGTGGTATGGCTCTGTTAGATGTGTGATGCATGCAGTGGCTCGCAAGTGTTTGATAGTGTCCTCCGGGTGTGTTACAGCACACCACTGTTTTGAAATGCACACTTTGGGGATTTTTGAGCTTTGTAATATGACCTTCGTTCTTCTGTAGTGTGCACCTGCTAAAAGCACTACCAAGCAGGTCCAAGTACTATAGCTGAAGAAACAGGTGACTTTATTGAGGATAAGGGCTCATGGAGGAGTCTTCCTTGTCCTGTTATGATATGCATCACATCAGCCAGTTTGGATCAAGTCATAGTCATCCTTATTGTCATTCATTGCACAAGTGCATATAATAGCCCTGTTTCCTCAGGTTAGTGTTACATGAGACATGGGCAGAAATTAAATAGTAATAGACACAGAATTGTGGCAAGACAGTAATACTGAGCCAAACATACAATGCAAATACTTGGGAGCATTACATGTAACATTAAATAGTGCATTACAGAGCAATAGATAAACAAGTGAAAGTTAGACTAAGTGACAGCTTAAAACATCTTTAAAGTGACCATGTCATTCAGAAAGATGATGAGCAGCAAATGCTGTCAAATTGAGACATGTTGGTACAGCACACTGTGGTCATGTGTTTTCCACTGGACAGTACGATTACCCAACCCAGAATTAACTTGCGTCTGTTTTGCATTACATAACAGAAATGTGAAGAGTGGGGTTCTCTTAAGCTTGAGTGGTCACACAATTCAACACAATTCATGTAACTGATAGCTAAGAAGTGCTGTTTAATTCTGATCTCTCTTTCTCTCTCTCTCTCTCAGTGCCTGGAGGAGTTAAATTTCAGTGTGAATCCTCTTGGAGATGGCTGGTCTCAAGCTCTGGCCTGTCTGCTGTCAGGCTGCCCCCTATTGACCACTCTATCTCTGCAGGCCTGTGGCCTCACAGCCCGCTTCCTGCAGCAACACCGCATCCTATTAGCGAGCGCTCTCACAGGTAAATATTCTGTTCGGTGTCACATTTACCAATGCGGTGTGACATGATGTTTAAGCAAGTCCTGCCCTCGTTACTGCCAGACATTGATGTGCCAGAGCAAAGACCATGTGTTTGAGCCCTGTTTCAATTCTCTTTTTGAACTTGCCCTCACCCACTTCAACTCGCCACTCAGACGTGCGCCACACCTACGTTAGACAAGTAGGCGCTTGTGGTAGAAGGGGAGGGGGCGACAGTGAAGAGCTTATTCAAACGTAACACACTCAGATTTGGCAGGTTAGCCTCAGTGGCGAGCCATGCAAAGTTTGCAGTGCAAAACATTTTTTAAGAAGTTTGAGCGAAAGGTAACAAACGTGTGAGTGATTTGCTTTGTATGGCTATAAGCTTATAGTGGAACCGTGGTGTAATGCTGTTTTTGTTGTTCCTGTTTAGCCATGTAGCCTTTAGCATGCTAACAAGCGAGCTTGCAGAGTAAAGTGATGAAGATGTATCAGCAGTCATTAGTATTCTTCTCCTCTTGTAGATTAGCAACGTCCCCTAAGAACCATGTTTAACAACTGAAGTAATTCTAAAATATTGTTATTGGCAAAATAGTAAAAACAGAAATGAACAGGTAGACAGATGTTAGTGTTGCTTTCTAACCTTTACACGATAAAGGCAAGTGTATGTACTGAGCTACCTATAAATATGTTATACAGAAGGATTTTTCGACAAGGTAGCATAATTCAGCTAGTCTCCATGCTAGGCTAATGGCCAACAAGAGACTGTAATAGGTTAATGAGTTAAAGGAAAGGAAAAAACAATGTCGACCAACTTACCTCAGACTGTAACTCACTACACGAGAGGTGAGGGCATCAGCATGTTTTGCACTGTTTTTGTCGTTATTTCGATCATACCGGTATGTAAATAATTGCAGATGACAAAGCCAATGCCTTAAAAAGAATTTCAACCAGTATATAGAATGTATATTGCCCACTACTTGCAGTTATGTATAACAGACAGAGTAGTTTGTCACTTAAAGCCCAACAAATTGAATATTACGGTTTTGAAATGTTAAGCATTTAAAAGTAGTTTATAGTTACAGCTTATAAACAGCTTCATCTGCCATTATTTTCAGGTTTAAAAAGGGAAATGCATTAAGTTGCAATGATTTCTGGGCAAATCCCTTCACTTAATTTAATAAAGTATTTGAACAGCCCTTAAGATAGCTCTGGGGATTCCCAGAGTGGAAATGAGAAGTCCAAGTGGACGAAGGCTTGTTAAAACCGGTATTGAAACGGGGAGTTGGTCTTCAGGATATCCAGCTAGTACAATTTTTTTTGTTCCATTCTAGCTTCCCACCTGACCAAGATGGGCCAAGATTTCTATTTCTATATTTGTGATCTAGATCAGAGGCCCTCTGTCCTTTTTTTATTTTGTCCCCATGCGGCTGTTCATTCTCACTTAATCGTTCTAATCATTGTACTCTTAATGCAGATACAGGACACCTGAGGTCAGTGTGCCTCTCCCAGAACACTCTGGGCTCCACAGGGTTTGAGTTGGTGTTGAAGACATTGCCACTACAGTGCCTCACACACCTGGAGCTTAATGCAGTGTGTAAAGGGCCCACAGAGCAGCCTGCGCTGGATCTCCTCACCAAACTCCTAACACAGGTGCACGGAGTGCTATTTACTCCTAAACCAAAATATCTCAATCTTACTAGAGCTTGAAATGTTTGTCCAAATCTGATGGGATCTAGGCGTCAGGGTCAGACGTCATTTCACAATTTAGGTCCGGTTCAGATTTCACATTTGGGGTGAATTGGAGGGTCAGCAGATGGATGGGTAGGTGGGGCAAATAGCTACACTTAGCTGTATATCTTCAGGTCTTTATCATAACATGTACAAACATATTATTTTAAAACTGAGAAAAATACTACTATACAATACTAGAGGAATATACTCTAGAAATGAAAGATCTGTAGCCTATTTGAATACAGTTTACCAAGATCATGTATTAATAACACTGTTGTTGCTGTTGAATGAGAACACTGTATTTGTCCAAGTAATATTTGTGTTTTGGCGTTGTACCTGGACATTGTAACATCTGAAGGTCTAAGCGTTGACTTTTCACTTGTGTTCCTGTACAATACTTGTGACTGAGAGTGAGAACTGGCATATGCAGTTATAGAATTTTGGCCTGTACAGCATTATAGCATTAAAGGAGGCAAATTAAAATTTCTGGTCATGATTAGAGTTTTGAGTAGGCAGTATACATATTGGTGTTGTATTATTGCTTAGCCCTTTTAACAGACCATGCAGACCATGAGGTATTGAGGGGGTTTTTTAGAAAGAAACAGTCACGCCAGTGGGTAGGAAACAGAAATTGACTGCAGTTTGGAATGCGTCAGAGAAAAGAACTTCAGACGATGTGTGAAACAGAACTTGCACGAGCTGCAGTGCCTCTCACCAGTTGTTGACTTAAGTGCTAGGTTGTGGTTATATGGTGTGAATTTGATCCTTCCCCCATTTTGTCAAGTTGTGTCCTTTACCGAGAACTGGCTGGTTATGCTGAAGATGTTGTGGCAAATTCACAAAAGGCAGCTAAATATTTCACCTTGGGAAAGAGGCAAGTCTGCATGCTTGAGCCATCAGGGTATTAGGTGTGTGTACAGTAGCTACTGTGGAAAAGTCAGAGACCAGACCACACTTCATTAATTCACGACAGCCAATAAGAACAGATTAGTTGTTTTTACCTCCAGGGCTTGTATTTTTAACCAAAAATTGCACAGAAGCCTTAATTTAATATAAAATCTGTTTTTTCAGAATTTACTGTGATCACACTTTGGCTTTATTATAGTGTACTCTCAGGTGTTGTGGGACGTTTTTTTTGTTTTGGTTCTTGCAGTCCAGGTTATCCCAATTACAAGACTAATCCGCTAATTAAACCTTACTTCTCAAATGCCAGTTTTGCTGTTTTAGTGCAAATTTTCTCCTTTTTTTTTTTGTCTATTTCCTAGTCTAACTTTACAGCTACACATTCAGACCGATAGCATTACAGAGAGTCCTCTGACAGTGGACAGGCGAACACCTGACTTTTTTTTTTCCAGATCTAAAGCAAGAGCTGGAGTTTCTTTTGTATCTTTCAAATATTAAAGCTTGAAGTACTGTTTATCTGATGGTGACGGTTTTGGTGGTCCACTTGGTCTTGTGCACTTGTTACGACTCCATTATCTCTACATTTTTTATTTTTACTTTTTTTTTCCCTTTGACCTTCCCTTCCTTATTCATATGAGCTATATTATGTCTATTCTTCTCAGAAATTATCTCCTTTATCTATTTTAGATGCACACGATAGTTACATTTGCATGGCGGTATGGTGTGTTTAAATAGTTAAAGTAGCAGTGGAAAAATTTAATGACAATACATTTGATATACTTAGTGTTGCAGGCTTTGGGTACTTGTCAGTTAAACCTAAGCTCCCAGGAGAAAGGATTACACCAGTCTCTGTTTATTTTAGCCCACTCTTTCACTAACTTTGTGCCTAATGTCCAAGCAGAACACAGTATTAATACTCCCACATTCCAGGGTGCCTTTTGGTGTCTGTGTGTGACTGTGGTCAACATACATGACAGAACACTGGCACATTTGACTGACCAGCAGAATCACCAGACCTCAATCACAGTTCTCAGTTTGAAACAGTAGGAGAAATGCAGAAATAGACACACAAACTCTGGCTAAAATGTGCACCTAGACTGTGAAATGTAGAGTGGGCTAAAATAGGAGTGGGAACTTAAGAAATTGGTTCTTACCAGGCAGGAGTGATGCTACTGTTAAGGCAAGGGGACACAAATAAAGTTTTAGGGACGAAATACTTTTGACTAATTTCATTTCACCAGTTACAGCTACCTTGTAGGTTTCTTTGTAGGTTTCCATTTACTGACTGCAGCCTATCTCCTCACTACTGATCAGATACTATTTAAGTGGTGCACCATTCTCAGCACAGCAGTGATTGACACGGTAGTAGCATGTTAGTGTATGTCATGCTAGTATGTATGTATCAGGCACAGCAGGGATGCTGGGTTTTTAACACTAAGTACACTTACTGGCTACTGTTAATGTAGCTGTACCATCAGAGAATGTAATGCATTGATGTGATAAAGTAGCCAAGGAGGGCAGATACAAGGAAGTTGTAGCTAATAAACAGGCACCTCACTGTAAGTATGTGCGGTTAGTAATGTGTATACATGCTCTGTGTTCCAGGCTGACTGCTCGCTCACACATCTGAGCCTGGCTGCAAATGGACTGACAGATCAGAACATCCGCTCACTCACCAGGTGAAGTCATAGACTTAGTCTTAGAGAGTCTGTTACATTCAGGCTTGCTTCTTGCATATATAGATATGGTGCATTATTTTGACTTACAGCCACCAGTATTACAGATTACATCACAAATTAAAGAAGGAGAAAGAGAGACTTTATTAGCGTTATTTTAATAATATTGTGTTGTCGTTATGTAAAATCAGACACGGCAGCTGTTGGGTACAGTTCAGGGAAGCAAAATTATTAATTAATTTATTTATTTTTCTGTATAGAAACGACATTGTGTGACAGTGATCAACCAATGGTCTGTGGATTTTTTTAGATGTCTACTTCTCTGTCCCTCCCTGGTGTCTTTGGATCTGTCAGCCAATCCTGCTGTGACTTCAGAGGGACTCCACAGCCTCCTCAGTGCTCTTAGGGAGGCCCGGCGACCTTTGACTCATCTTAACCTTCAAGGTAACAACCAGTTAAGGGGGTTTTCGGGGTGTTTGTAAGTAGATTTGTGTGTGCTCTTGTGTCTCTCATATTTTGCGTGTGTGTGTATAAGTTGTAATATGTGAAAAATAGAACAATATAAAGATAAACATGTTGTGCAGCGGCATCTCCGACTCTGCAAAAAAAAAAAATGGTGCTAAATGTTGTTTCTCACCCCAGCCCAAATTTATCAAGCCATTTGTCACATGCATCACATACACTCGAGCTCACATCTACAAGCATCAGTGTGGCGTGTTTTGCACTGTGTATATGTTGCATTATCTAGCTTATATATGGTGTATCTGTAAAACTAATCCCTTAGGAAGAATTCCAACTAGTGTATCACTCACTACTATTGCTTTCCCACAAAATACTAGCATTACAGATTTTGTCAAGAGCATTTTTACCACTGCAGGTCAATTCACACACCTGTCGTGTTGCTTACTTAAATTAAGTTCCATCTACTGGTGTACATGTATGCAGGGTTGAGATAGCTACTGAAAAATTAGTAGTTAGCTACTTTGTAGCTACTTTCCCAAAATTTGTAGCAGCTACAATTTAGCTACTTCTCCAGAAAAAGTAGTGGCTATTTTTTAGCTACTTTTTGAAAAGTAGTGCACTTTCAAACCATGATTTTCAGAATGTTTGTGAATCTTGACCTGACACACCAAACAAGCCCAACTGATAGTGTGAAAAAGACACTGCATTTAGTCATGTGCCAGAAACATACATGCAATTGAAAAGCTGCAAATATACAAAAAGATCAGCAAAAAGTAAGTTTAAGTGTAACCAACAATCAAACTTACACAACAAAGGCGTGATATCCAACAAAAATTAGACTAAGTAAAGACAAAGTCAATCATTCCAGGTTTTTCCTAATAAAAATCAACAAAAATAACTATACAAGCAAACAGTATTGTGCAAAGCATTGTCAGCTGTTGAACATTGAGAGACATTTTACAAGAAACTCGAGGAGAAGTTTCCTGAGAAGCGAGAGAAGCGGCTACAGCTGAGCTAAAGCTTAAAGCAGAGCAAAGTAAGTCTGCGTTTTCGTTTATATTATATTTTAGCCTGTACTAGTACGTCAGCACATACTGAGACATTTACAGCCATGATGGTAAAACGGACATAAAATTTTGTGGCTCCCAAAGTGGTTTAATTTTTGTTGAAAGGACAAAATGATTGCACAATTGCCACCAGCCCAGTTAACGACCGCATTCTATGGTTCAGATTTTAGTGAAATTTGTAGCGAAAATTTTTGCTATAGCTATTAGCTACATTTCATAAAACGGTAGCAGCTACAGCTATTAGCTACAAAGATTTGTAGTTAGCTACAAAAAGTAGCATGCTACTCTTCCATCCCTGCATGTATGTCAGAAGTTGCTTAATGGAATCGATATTCTCTATTGCCAAGACTCATACTGCATTTAAGTGCCAGTATTGCCAGAGAATAATAGAAATGCAAACTTAGTAGATGTCTTTAAATCCAGACTCAGAATATTTGTTTAGTCTAGCATATGCCCAGAGGTATTGTGGCTCATTTTCTCCTATTTAAAATTGTGCTGTTATTTTTATTTAAAGTGATAAAGAAAAGTAAATAAAGATTATTATTTCATGAAACCGTCTTGCCAGGTTGCCAGGTGTGTGGGCCGTGGGATGTTGCTTGTTTGGATGGCCTGTCTGAGTGGGTCCAGAATCTGCAGCTGTGTTCTCAGCGACTAAACAAGCTGGACCAGGAGATCCTGCAGAAAAACTGGCCAGGACACATCATGACCCGAAACTCCAAATGCCTGCTTAGCACTGCCCCTGCAATGCAGTGATCCCATGCTGTCCTCTGGTGTCTGTGCAGTGGCTGGGGAACAGAACTGTGCAGACATCAAGGCCATCATGCATGGGTGCCATTGTTTGATTTTCTTTTTTTTTTTAGACACTCTTCTAGTTTATAAATGGTGCCTCAATTGTGAATTTGCTTGGAATTGTACAGATTTAGTGTACAAACATATATTTGTAAGATGTATTTAAATATTTGTGTGTCTGAATAATACATGCTAATCTATGAAACCAGTAAAGGTGTCCTTTCCAGACTTAGCCTGTCTTCCTGATTCAACAGTTTTGTAATTTTTCTGCATTAAACAGAGTGAAAGAATTGAGTGGCTCTATTTTTGGTATATTGCATTCCTGAAAATCTGTTTTGTCTATTCTGTAGAACTTGAAATTGAAGTGATGAGGAAGGATCTTTCTCTTTTTTCTGGTTCATCTAGTGATGAGGAGCCTAGATAGACTAATAAAATCCTAACTCTAATACTGTCCTAAACATTGTGAATGTTTGCCAGTGAGAAGTGAACAGCTGCAGTGTCATTGGATTCGAAAGCATCCATTGTACAGTGGGTCTACAAAACATACCTAAGCACTACTCATAAGAACATTTAATTGATTTGTACATCATGTTTAGGTCGATTTGTCCGTTTTCAGTTTATCACGCTTGCTTTTTTTCCAACAGGGCTGGAGATTCCACTAGATGCTCATCCACTGAATCTAATTATGTTCGTTTAAGCTGTTAGTAGTTTCCTCATGATGGCTCTGGCATACTCCAAAAATCATCTGCCTGTCAGTCATATCACATTTCACTGTTGAAACAGTGAAGAAAAAGCACCTTGAAAATTAAAATGGATTCTTCAATTTGAGAAGATTAAGCACAAATCCACAAAGATATAGAAATAGTTCACCCCTGTGATCTAATGCTTCTTAAGAAAGATGGGGTTTTAGATAGTGTCATATGTGTCAAAAATGAGTCATCCTATTTTGGTTGGCTGTGGTTTTGACTAGTACAGTCTGCACATGTGCCCATTAAATGTGCTTCAGCCAATGATTTTAGGCCCATTTCTTATAGTCAGTGGCTGGCTATATAACCAAAGTGCCATATTTCAAGGTTTTTTAAAAAAAGTAGAAGTTAAAACTGGTCTGTAGTAGCTGTTGAGTTTGTTTAGTCTCAGCATTTCTAGTTATTCATTTTTAACAGCAGGAAAGAAAACATTTAACAAAACGTTACACAGAAGCCTCAATAACTAAATATCATTTTTTAATGATTGCATTCCCACCATTTGCCTTTATTAGACTTTCCATTCCTTTCATGAGACTTTCTTTACATTTTTCAAACAAATCTGCAAGGACTTTTTAGAAGTTAGTTGCATTTTCTGCTTCTCACAGTCCAAGTAAACCCAAACAAATTCAGTGCTGTTGAGCTCTGGAGTCTGTGGTTGTCAGTCCATTGTTCTTAGAACACCAGCAGCTTCATTTGATCTGCAAATTTTCTTCTTTGATTCTTTGAATTTTCAGATCTGAAGCAAGAGCGGAGCTTGGTTTTCTCAGATCTCTCAAAGATGAAAGCTTTATGTACAGTTTATCTGAAGGTGACAGTTTTGGTGGTCTACCAGATCCTGCACAGTTGGGCTCTTTCTCTCTATCTATTTAATCATTTATTGAACTTCAGTTTTTTTCCATGTATTTTCTTTGCTTATTTACTTTCTTTTTCAGTATGCAAATAATATCTAATCATCTCATACATTTCTCCTGAAAAATAAATAACTTCTACTTAACAGGTGTTTTGACTGGAGGGTGGTCTCACCCTTTGCACCCAACTGTCTTGTGGTGTGTCATATAGATTAGATAATCATCTGTTTCCAGGCTGTTGTTTTGTTTTATCTGCAAATGTGCTCATTTTCTCTTCTCAGTCACTGATTTTTTTGAGCATTTGTCTTTCTCACACCATTATACAATAAGAGTTGTGACCCAAGTGCCATATTTCAGACTTCCCAATGGATCCTTTTTAGTGTTCAATACAATTCCTCTGTAGCAGGTCTATGCAATGTCGTTTATTCTGAATTACTGGCCCCATGGCCTCTGCTTCTCCGATTCTGATTCAAGGATCATCCAGAATACACACTGACCTCCAAATACCTGCTTAGCACTACCCCTGTCTTATGGTGGCCCCATGCCGTGGGTTAGGGTCTACATAACAGACCTCTGCATTACATTTCATCCACAAGAAAGCTTACCTGATTGATTTTTAAATCAGTATTAGCTGTTTAACTTACATTAGCTGCATCAGCTGTATATATTATGCTCACTAAAGCCCATTATAGCTCTAGTGTACTCTCAAATGAGTCTATCAGTCTATGCTTCATTAGTGTTTAAACTGAGTGATGGAGGAAAAGCACTTGGAAGTGAATTCAAAACAAATGATAAAAATGGATACAATTCAGAAATAGTTCCCTGCTATAGTCCAGGCTTTCTTCTATCAGGCTTTCTTTTTAAGAAAGATGAGGTTTCAGACAGAACATGATCACATATATTTTGTGATGTGTCATGAAGATTAGATAGTTATCTTATTCTAGTTGGCAGTGGTTTAATTGGTAATGTCTGCAGATGTGCTCATGCCTCTTCCTCTCCCTTCATCGAACGGCTGTCGAAGTAGCTCTTACACAGTGGTGCAATGAGAGTTTTGTATGAAAGCCTGTTTCTACCACTAGAAAAAAAAAATTAGAGTCATTTAGTAATTAATTATAATTCTAGGAAAGTAAGTCATAATCATGAAATGCTAATTCATAATTATGACAGAGATTATGAGATGCTGTAATAATTATGATATACACTGATCAGGCATAACATTGTGACCACCTCCTTGTTTCTAGAATGATCCACCACCCAAATAGTACCTGCTCTGTGAGGGTCCATGGGGGTCCAGACCACTAAAGAACAGGGTAAAAGGGGGCTAACAAAGTATGCAGAGAAACAGATGGACTACAGTCTGTAATTGTAGAACTACAAAGTGCACCCATTTAGTAAGTGGAGCTGAAAAAATGGACAATGAGCGTAGAAACAAGGAGGTGGTCATAATGTTATGCCTGATCGGTGTGTATATATATATATGTATGTATATATATATATATATATATATATATATATATATATATATATATATATATATATACACCTTCTTTGGGGTCTGTTATTCCTAACTCCACCCTGTATGTACATCACCACCATAAATGGCTTTTTAAATAGTTTTAAGCCAAAAACCTATAATGAAACAATGTTTTAGGCATGCTTTAGGCATCAGATAATGGAACTATTTCATGTAATAACTTTATTATATGAACAAATAGCTCTTCAGATGTCTGGTTCCTATCACCCTCACTGCAGACAATTCTGAGTTGGTAAGTTTCTCTAGAAGGGAGCATTTCAAATCAAACCACTAGGAATGACTTTTTTAGATCTTAGCCATTGATTCAGGGGAACATTTTGAAAAACATTCATTTTAAGAATGTTGAGGTACATGATGAGATATATACATGTATCTTGTGTTGTAAAGATGAGATAGTCATCCGTTTCTGTTGGTTGTGGTTTTATTGGTATTGTCTGCAAATGTGCTCATTAAATGCGCTACGTGCCTCTTCAGCACACACTACAATCATCATAGTACAATAAGAGTTTTGGCCCAAATAACCTTTTTCAGAATTCTTAAAATACCATTTTTGAGTATTAGATAAAAATCGCTGTGTAACAGGTGTTCAGTCTTGCTTGACAGTTAAACATGCAATTTTTTTGACTTCATGACCAAACAAACCTCTGTGTCTTTGATGCTAATTCGAGCCACATCAAATACTTTGGGTGGTAAGAAATGAAGACAACAAAGTTTTACTGAGAATATTCCAGTTTATTAGAGCAAAACTGCTAGCTTAAGCTTTACATAATACACTTTTGCATTATGCATGATTGTTTTATTTATTTCATCAACATATTATCATGCAGGCATCAAAGCGGAGTTGTCTGTTCCTTCAGACCTTCTGTGGGACTTCTGGAAAAGCCTGGATGAATTCCAGCAGGGTTTTGGAGCTGTAATATTCCGATGGGAAAAATACAAAGGAAGTTGTATCTTTACTTGGACAGTTACTCAGTAAATACTTAATAGACAGTCACTTAGTCTCTTGTAAAACTTGCAAACAGTGAGTAATTTGATGTGTAATGCACTTTTATCAGAAAAGTTTTTTGTAACTTGCCTGCAAATGCCAATATTAGCACAGATGGTTCCTGGCCTATCTGTAGTTGAAAGTTCCTCAACCAAAATGTCGAAGAATCTGTTAATGATGCCCTTACATAGAAACCTCAGGAAGCCAATACTATCACAGACACTTCGCAGTTGCTCCCTAATCATGTCCTGCAATTTAAAAAGTTAAAGTTTAAACTGTATAAGAATTTTTCAACATATGAAGTACTTCGTGATTTTCACTATGGATTCTGATACACTCACCTTAGTTGCATCACTGCTAAGGCTGCGTTTCAGCTTCCCCATGGCCCACTTGCACGCCCAGCATTTACCTGGGAAAGCTGCTCCAGGCATAGGCAAGTCCTCAGCCTGATCAACAGCCTGTGCAATAAGAGAGCAGATATAACATGAATATAACAAGAAAAAGGGCCTAATTAGAACTCCTCTGTTTGCATAAGGTGGCCAAAACTGTTGAAACTACAGTGGCTCCTACACTCTCAGAAGAAAAGGTACGAAACTATCGGTGGTACCCCCTTGTCACTGGGTTGGTACCCTCAAAGGTATGCCTTCAGTACCTTCAGTTAGGGAACATTAAGTGTACCATATTCTATTGAAATCATATATTTTTAAGATGTATTGACTCCATACACCCTGTCTTCTCTCTTTTTATTTTATTGTTGCTTTAAAACACTGGGTTATGAAAAGGTACAAATATGTACCTTTCTCTGGGACAAAGACACAGCTGGACCTTAAAACCACTGCTGTACCTTTGAGAGTACATTTACATTATTTGTACCTTGATGAATGAAAAATGTATCTGCGCAGTACCTTTTTTTCTGACAGTCTAGAGTACAGTTTGATGAGACATGGCATACATTGTACTCAGGAATAAATCAGCTCGAATGGACACCAATTTATTAGTCATAATGCTTTACTGTCAGTCTTAGTGGCTGCAAAAATAGTAAAAGAGCGTACCAAGCTCTCATGGAGCAGCTCCTCATCGGAGTCCACTTTCAGGTATTCCAGGTGCATTGCACAGCCTGGAAAAGCAACACAAACAGGCTACATATGTCCTCCCAGCTCT